AGAAACTCACCCCCGAGACTGATTTGTTCTGGGCTTGGAGCATTTTCATTTGATTATTATTTATTCACTCAGGGTTCCAACATTTCTGCAGTTGCTGATCACACTGGCGTTTTACACGAAGGGAGTAACGGTTCAGCTCTCTCCCTCCATTAAGCAGATTGAAGCATAGAGTTCATCAGTCACATTCCTTGGAGGGAAGACATGGAAGTGAGTTTTCTTCTGTCCTCTGCTCTTTGCAGCGACCACGCAGACTCCTTATAGCCAACTACCTATCATAAACACACCAAAACACCCCCTAGACAAGCTACCGATGAGATGCTCACTGTTTAAAACAGGAATGTAGGACACGGGTGTCATAGACGATTGTCACCATACAGTGCTACCATGGTTGAGGACATCCACAGCGGGCATTTTCCATTAAAGAAATGGAGATCAGTTCCACTCCTTAGAGAAATGTGTGTTCTGTGACTGGACTGTCTGTTTTAGGAGCAGGGATGTGCCTTCTCAAAAGATGTACCTATTGCCTCCAGGATTTGTGACTTAAGACACACTTTTGTGAAGTTTACATGTCAGAACGTTTTCTGTATTTCAGAGAGGAGGTTGCAAACCCCCGTTACAGTGTTATGCCCACCTCATAGCAGGAGCTGGGACTTTTGAGATAACTTTTCTAATAGAGCATTCTAGAGTCAGGTTGCACTGAGGCTATCCTAGGTACATCCTTCCATCCTGCCCAGAATGAGGCCTGATAATGTCCCACAGCTCTCTGAGACAAATGTCAAGGTTTGGCTTCTGAGGTTTCAACCTAGTTCCATTGAAATACCACCACATAAGACAGGAGATATGGAAGATGCCAGCCTTGTCTCTAAAGCAAGACAAGTGTAGCCTCTCTCTTCCTTATCCTCATTCATTCCTGGGGCCCTTCTTGTGTCATCTTGATGTGTGTGTGTGTGTGTGTGTGTGTGTGTGTGTGTGTGTGTTGCTATTAGCCCACTGTAGTGTCATTTGTCACTCTTAACCTGAAGTTCCCAGCTCCTCAGGGAACCATGGTCAGGTTCCGTGTGTACCGTGCTTTCCGTGACCACAAAGAAGCTGAACATCTCGTCTGAACTTGAACAGTTGTGTGACTTTATCATGGAAGATACATAGACATGCCCACTCCCTTCAGATTGGACAGCAGCAGACCCCAGGCATGCCTCCAGCCAAATGCAGCTTCTGAACCATGTGGAGTTATTGGAAGGAGCGTGGGTATGGGGTACATATGGGCACACAGGTGACTTAAAGAGAGCTGTGTCATTGAAAATCACCATATTTTTATTGGTGAACTCTCCCTTGATTCTCTACTCCATCAACTTCTTATGTTTTCATTTTCTGGGAGCAAGAGAATGGTGGCTGGACTCTTGGGTTAGGGACTGATGACCTCAGTCCTGTGTCTTACAACAGAACATTGATCACATGATCTTCTGACATTATCTTGCCTGTGACCACACTGACTCTTATTTCATGCTCGCAGTGGCCATGCCATGTCTAGAGGATGGAATTTTTCTCTCCCAACTATTTCATTCATGCTGCTGAACCTCACCATCTTTCTAAACCAGCAGTTTTCCTTCTGTGGATCATGGCTATCAGAAAACATGTATTTCTGATGTTCTTAGGAACTGAGACACCGCTCACTGGCAAAATCACGGTTAAGAAGGAGCAATAGAAATGAATGCACGCTGAGAATTTTCTAAGATCAAACAGTTCAACATGGTTCTTCCAGGAAGCATGTTCCCAATCTGGTTTTTTGAATTCCTTTTACACTGTGACAAGGTCTGCCTCTTCTAAGATCTCACAGTTGACAGTTTCCTGCTATGTAGGAAAATAAATCATGTGTTTTATTACAGCATCCCAAGATGTTAGTTGGCAAAACACACCAAGTAAAGGACTGTGGAGCTGAACAGCTGAGACTCGTGTCGTGGCACTAGGACATGATTTTAAGTTTCAGGAAAAAAACAATTTCAACCATCATACCTGCTGAACAAACCCTATGACTTCCTAGTATTGTCTCTTGGAGCACATTGTTAGAATGAAAACGACAAAGTGGGATTTCTTGTGTTGATATTTCATTGGGTAATTGTCCTTATCTGAAGACAGACTTGGTAAAGGGATAAATACCAGTGCCTAGTAGCTTCTTGCCTAGGGCAACTTGGCTCTACTAAGCGGTGATACAGCCTCTTTCTTCATCACACATTGTGGAGGACACGCTTCTCCAAATCCCTAATTCAGAGACAGAGCTCTTCTCCGACACACTCAGTCATTTCTCTTCCAGGATTTGGAACAAAATTAATTAGCTTGAGAAGGCACTGGGACAATTATTAACGATGAAATTATCTGTTGTTTCCTTCAGGGGATGGGGGCTTCCTTGTTCCCTTGATTGTTCCTGAGGATGGGCCCTATTCCTTCTGCTTTGTCTCTAACAAGCTCTGCTCAGTGCTCCAGGGATCTGTCCCAAGCCACTGGCTGGTAGGGCTGTTGCCAGGATCTCTCCTGACCTAAGGGGAAGTCTCAGACTCTTGCCCACTCTGTGGCATAGGAAATGGATGGGCCGAGACTCACCTCCTTAGCATGGGGGTTAATCTTTGTAAGACATAGAAGAAGTTCATGAAAATTCAATTCACGTGGTGTCTCAAGGAATGGATCTGGTACTCTCTCACTTGTTATTACTTAATTACCTTTATCACAGCACCACAATATATATTAAGTTGTTGTCATTGCATAGAAGAAAAGTGAAGGCCCACATCATGTTGTCGAAGAACACTCCCCTATTGGCCAAAGGATTCAGACATCATCCCAAGTTTGCTCCACTTTCAGATCACTGATGCTGACGTCACACAATGCTCCCCATGGACACCATGCACACCTGCTGAAAGGTAAAGCCTATCCCATCAGGGTGTGCACCCCACGCTAACCTGCTTCCACCATAGACCTTCTCTCTGCTGAGAGTCTTGCCCTGTGTCTAACAGTCCACATCTGTCCTGCTCTGTTTCACCTGGTTGCTACATTTTCACAGCAGGACTGAGCACAGTGGCACGTGACTGCGATCCCAGTGATTTGGATGCTGAGGCAGGAGGATTAGGAAGGTCAGAGTCCAAAGCCAGCTTAGGATGTATAGTGAGATCTGTGTCAAAACAGAAACAATAAAAGGTCATCCCTGAGAATCATTGTTCCTGGATTCCCAGGGCAAGTTAAAGCCAGGCTGAGTTAATGATTGAGAGACACGCCTTAAGCAGATACGAACTGGGACCAGAAACAGCTCTGGCCTCTGTTAACTCAGCATTTTGGCACACTCATTTAGTGTTTACTCATCTTTTAATCAGGAATAATGATATTAGGTGAAATGGTTGCTATCTCCCAGAATTCCTGTCTCCTCCCTCACATCTCCAGCTCTGTCAGAGACCACCGCCCCCAAAGAGCCCATGTGATCTTTTACGATGTTCTCAAGGAGTTCAAGATGGAAGGACATGCGCAGCACTGTGAGCTCACTAGAATTCTTGATTTGCATCCCTTGTTATGAGGGCACCTTCCTGCACACCACTCTTTATCTATTATTAGATGTGTATATATGAGTGTGTGTTATGTAACTAAACTATTCATCCATTATTAGATATGTGTGTGTGTGTGTGTGTGTGTGTTATGTAACTAAGCTATTCATCCATTATTAGGTGTATATATGTGAGTCCGGGCCATGTAACTAACCTATCTGTTATTAGATGTGTATATGTGAGTGTGGGTTATGTGACTATTCATCCATTATTAAATGTGCATATATGAGCACGAGTGTCCACATGATTGTGTCCGTGAAGATCAGAAGATGACTTTGGGGAGTTTGTTCTCTCTTTTTTCGTTATCCAGGCAGGATGACTCTTCTTCAGATCACCCTGTCCTCCAAGCCTGGCCATGCTCTATTGTCCCGTGCCCCCTCCATGTTACTGTAGGAACACTGGGGTCACAGATGCACACCACATCCCTCTTGTGTATTCATTTTGTTGTGGACTCTGGGTGTCATCTCTGCTGGTCTTGCTTGTGCAGTAAGAGCTTTGCTCTCTAAACCATTTTTCCAGCCTTAGAGCCTTAGAGTGTGTATTTTTAAGAACAGGAACCATGTATTCTCCATCTTTGGGATCTCCACTAACCAAATTGGCCTCTGGATTGTGCTGCCCAACTTGCAATTAGGTCTTGTTTGAAAAAGATGAATGGAACGATGCTGCAGCTTTCAAGTACGGGTCAGGATTTTAGCATCATGGGAGGCGAAAGGAGAAGGAAGGGCCCTCTGAACAAGTGCACATGGTGAACAGTGGTCACAGGGAGGTTGGAGCATTCCCGAGTTATCCTGGGGACCAGAAGCACCAGGGGATTGCAGGATGCAGGTCAGGGGGGGGGGAGGGCAGCTTTTAGCTGAGGGCCACTTCTGCTCCAGGGATTGACACTTCAGGCTTCAGTCTCAGGCTCCACTGAGGCTTGAAGGGAACAAATTATTGGTTCAGCTCTGAAGATGGTTTGTTGTTTTGGTTTGTTCTAGTTGAGTCACTTCAGATAATGCATTGATTCAGACACACTCTGAGGACACCCATCAGAGTGTATTTGTAAAAAATAAAAACCCAGCCAGCACTCTTTAATGTAGCATTTTCTAACCTTCTGCTAGGGTAGTGACAGAGCCTTCCAGGCTAAGACAGGAGTGCCCAGAGCTCCAGGTGGCCTGCACACACCTGCTGGAAGGTAGGAGATGTGGCCGGGAGCTAAGAGGAATTGCAGAAAGGAAGGCAGAAGAAAGGATCTTGAGAAATGGGATAACAAGACCAGGCCTTCACCCTTCTGTCCTTAGGATTCAACCCTTAGCCTACCCTCTTTAATTACACATGGTCTCAGGCCTGGAAGAATAGCCCACCACCCTTCCCTGCCTCCTGTAGCCACCGAGGACACATAGATGGAAAACAGTCTTTAAACAAACTCTTCTTTGCCATTTATTAAGTCCAGAGAGATTCAAGGGAAGGCATCTTACAGCTGGAGGAATGGGAATTCTCCCGATCTTCCACCTTTTCCAAGGACATCATTTTTTCCCCCGTAACTGCACCCGCATCAGATATCTAGATGAAAAAGTGAATGCATTGATCCTGCAAATTGCCACGGGGACTTTGCACACTGCACTTGATTAAGCTATTAAGCAGCGGACAGCCCTGGAAATATCAAGAGGCAAAAACCCAGCACAGCCCTGGAAGCCTTACCTTCTACTATCAGCTCCACAGGGTCGCTGGTCCCTGAGACGAACTCGAAGGGTGACTCGGCGGTATAGCGGCAGCTGTAGTTGCCTGTGTGTTGGGGACCCACGAAGGGCAGCTTCAGCTCAGCCCAGGTGCTTCTCATTGCTGAGCTCATCCAGAAGGGTAAACGGTAGCCCTCGCGCACCAGCTCCATGCTGACCTTGGGCACATGGCCATGGCAGCGAAATTTGGCTTCATGGCCCAGAGGCACTTTGCCTGTCCACAGAGCTTCGAGCTTTGGCTTAGGTGGTGGCCCTGTGAAGGGGGATGGCAATGGGATTGTAGCAACTTCCACCAGGCCCAATGGGGTTCTACTCTGGCTATGTCCTTTGTACTCTCCACTCTGAGCCAGGCGGCTCCCTGTCCTGCCCTGTGTCATAAACTCTGGTGTTGTAGAATCTACATGTCATCTATATGTCCATACCCCCAAATCATGATGTCTATGAGATCTACCAGGTACTGGTCTGTCCCAAGACCTCGTGGGATGCCCAAAGAGTTGGAGTGGGGAAACGACCTTTCAGAAACACACTTGTAGAACAAGCTCAGTTCAAAGACCTGAGGTGAGAACCTAAGTAAATCTGAAACCAGTGAGAAGTCTTTTGTGGGTGACCTCTGACCCACTGAGACCTAAATGAGGAAATTGAAGGACCGATAAAGCCCAGGGACTCTGGTGTCTGTAAAATTACACATTAGTTCAAGGCAGTCAATAGTATGAGTGGACTTGGCATACATGCATCACAGGGAAACTGAGGCACAGGAAGGTGCTCTTGTACATGAAAAACTTGGATCCTAACACCATTGGACACCGTTCTATGAGATGTCTTTCACATTAGAGCATAGAAAACAAACCAGGGGAGTTTTTCACCTTGGGGAGTCTATTTCAAGGTTCTCAAAGTCTAACACATCATTAAGGCACAACCCAGAGCAGATGTCCCTTCACAAGATCGCAGCCCAGTCCTTAAGGTAGTTACACATTACAGTTATACTCAGCTCACCATTCACAAGCAACTCCAAGATCTTGCTAGGAGCGGATCCCGAGAAGGGTGGTGTCTGTTCCATGTAGACACAACTGTAGTTGCCAGAGTCTATTGTTGAGACATCGTGCAGCTCGAAGACAGCTTCGGTTCCAGCCGGTTTCAGCATCTGGATCAGGGGATCCTCTATTATGTCACCCTGTCGTTGTAGGCCAAAACGGAGGCCGTCCTTGGGTGCAGTACATCGAAGACGCACGGTGGAGCCAGGTTCAAGGTTCTTACTCGACGGCTCTGCGGTGAGCACGGGGGCCGGTAGTGTCTCTGTGGAGGATCAGACACATTGGCCCAGCCGGAAGGCACCGCAAGAGCCCTATTCATAGTTCAGCCTATGCTCTGACTCAGCCTTCTGCTTAAAGGGACCACCTTGCCACCTCTCTTGCCTGCTTCTGTAAGGCACCAAAGACAACACTGCTTAAATCTCTGCCACCCAGTCACCATCCCAGGCTTTTCCCGCTCCCAACGGGCAGCAAGCCCACCTCATTCCTGCTTGGATACCCTGACATGTGGGGCCCATTAAACTCCGTGCCAGACTTCTTTGGTGATCCAATTCATTACTGGGCACAAAGCTGCTGTATTAATTGTCCTATTGAAAGCTTGGGAAACCGTGGCTATGATTTGGAGGTTCTGTTTTGGGGTCCCCGTCCTGCTTGATTCTGATCACCGTCTTGGACCTCACGGCCCACTCTTGTCTGCGGCCTCGCTGTGAAACTCACCATCACTCCACATCAGCTCTACCGGCTCACTGTCTTCCGACCAACCCTCCACCTTTCTGTGGATACGGTAGCGGCAGGTAAAAGGGCCCTGGTCCTCCAGTTCCGTAAAGTTCAAGTGGTAGATCATGAGATCTCGGAGAGGGCTGACCCCACGAACGTTTAGCACCCTCTCACCCCGCCTGAGTTGGAAGTCATGTACATTCATAGGAGCTCTGCAGGCAAGGATCTCAAGTGTGGTCTGGAACTTGACTTGTGGGTAATTTCCAAAAAAATCCAGAATGGGCGGAGGCGGTTTGGCTGCAAGGCAGGGAAGTGTACTCAGGCAGGAGTCCAGGACACCTACTCTGTAAGGTCCCACTAAGAACTGTCCTTTGTCCAGTCCCCAAATCTTCATTTTCCAGTGACGGCTCAGGGATGGCAGGCGTATCTGGGGACACCATACACCCATCCTACGCTGGCTTTTCATTGTTGGGGTTCAACACTCACTGTAGGCCTTGATGATCACAGGAGCGCTGGGCTCAGAAGGTGTGCCTTCTGCGTGAGTACGGTAGCTACAGCTGTAGGTGCCGGGTTTGTAGACTGCAAACCAGGCTTGGTCCTTGTCTTGGGCTGTGATCTCCTTCAGGAAACTGTCATCTCCTTCCAACCTCAGCATGAAAGTTACACCCCGCAGTGCAGAGTGACACCGCAGGTGTGTTCCCAGGAGAGGGACCACCCAGGGCACCGGCTGAACAGAAAGTGAGGGTCGGGGCAAGGGCTCTGTGGAGGGCGAAGGCAGAGTTGGTGAGTGCCTCAGTATCACTCTGGAGAAAATGAGAGTATGGACCCCAGCAGCAGGGCGTGGGGGTGAGTGTAAGAGCAAGAGAATGGGTACAGAACACTACTCAGTGCCATGCCTGTCCCCATCACTCATTGAGACGTTATTCACAAGCCTCTGGGGACAGCATAAACATTCCCACTTGACAGATGAACAAACCGAGGCCAAGAGGTACCAGGCGTCATGAATGGAAGCTCCTCCATCTATGTCCCTCCATCCACTGCCTCCTCACCCCATTATGACCCCGCTTACCTGTCCCTGTCACCTCTACAAGATTGCTTAGCATTGTCCACTTGTTCAGCTCATTCAGTTCAGTAGTTGGGGGCTCCACGCCGTATCGGCAGCGGTAGAGGCCACTGTTGCTACTTGTAATTGGCCCCAGTGGGAACTGGTGTGACAGAACATACTTTTGAAGGTTGACCTGATGCAGGCGCCATCCATTCATGATCAGCTGGAAGCTCTTGGTAGGGAAGGAAGCCTCACAGGTCAGTGTCAGGTTTGCCCAGGGTTCCAGCAGGGACTGAGGGTCTAGCCGTAGGATAGCTTCACTGGTGCCATCTGGAGTGGGAAAGAGCCAGGGATAGCTTGCTGCTGTTGGGAAAGGGGTTTCCCGCCTGCTGTTTCTAGGCCCCATCTCTGAACTTACCGAACTGAGCAGTTGCTGGGCGCAGAGTGAGGCCTGTAGGGACAGAGTCAGTGAGTCCCCCGTTCATACCGCACCTGCCCAGAGAGGTTTTAGGTCCCAGGACGTCTTACCCCAGAGCAGCAGCACAGTGGTCAGCAGAGACATGGCTGGGTCCTCAGTCTTGCTGGAGTGTCTGCAGGGAGCTCCTGCAGTGGCCAATTAATCTGCGGGGCTGACCTTGCACTTCGGGTGACCTTCCTGGAAGGTAGGGCAGAGAGACAGCCGCTTGGCTTGGGGACCAGGAGGATTCAGCAATAATGCTAATCAATAATAGTGTGTAAGGATCCAGCCAAACTTGATAACAGTAAAATCTCCTCTTCCTAGGGTTAAAAACAACAACAAAATAGTATTTTAGACTCAGTAAAACGACCACATTTCTTTAATGCAAAGGAATGCTTTATTCGAGGGCAGCCTGGGCTACACAGTGAGCCAGACTGACCCTATGTACAAAAGAACAAGAAACAAAACAGGACTCAGGAATACACGCAGTCATTTTGGTATCCTCAAATCGTCCTCCATCATTTAAACTGTCGTGTGTGTGCTTGGGGACCACAGCCAGGCTGTGATTTCCTCTTCCCATTCCGGGGGCTCCTTGAATGAGAATTCCTTTCCCTTTGGAAATACCAGGAAGGGGGCATCTCATTTCCTGTCACTCTCCCAATTCCAGCCACTTTCCAGCAATGAAAGATGACTTTAATCTCACGGATGACATGGAGTTTGACTTCCACAATCTTTCAAATGGTTCACACACTAGGGTCTATGAAATCAACAAAGGCTGAGAGCCCAATGAATTAAAACAAATAAAATAAAGATTAGTTTTGAAAATTTTTGTCTTTCTGTATATGTGTGTGGTCATGTTTGTATATGTGATTTCATGTGTGTGTGTGTTGTGTCACAAATATAAAGTATCTATTGTGGTTCTTTGTCAATATGTCATGTCATTAGTTTGTGTCCACTGACTGCAATCATCACTGGCCACTGCTCCTGGACCATGTTTCCCCGAGAGACCTCATGGTTTCCCTGATCCTTCCCTAGTGAGCTGGACCAGCAAAGAGGTACAACATGCAGGAGAATGAGGGATGAGGCTTTGCCTTGCATGTTGGCTACAAAGAATCCTGTCCTGACTAGAGCCAGGTGTGAGGACGGGCCAGAGATAAGATGCCACCCTCATTGTGTGTGACAAGTCAGCAGCCATGTGGCCACTATCAGCCACAGAAGGAATCCTCCTTTATTGCTTTGGAAGGTTCCAGGAGTCTAACAGTCCTTGCTGTTCTGTAGACTTCACTAGAGGGCAGAGTGGAGGTAAAAATTTGGGAAGGAACTCATGTAAGACCTATCACTTGTCAGTGGGCCTTTGTGATGTGTGTGTGTAAGGAGGACTTTGATAACTTCGATCCAACTCTGAAATTTGATACTTTGTTCTAGCTTTGAAATTTGGGCATGATCCCACACCCCACACCTTCTATTTATCAAGAAACATTTCTTTCTTTCCAGTTTCTTCTTTTCCTTCACAGATTGTAGTGTTCAGGTAAACAATTATTTACCAAGTCTAGCTTATATTACATTAGTTGTATTAGGTAATGGTGACAATAGTCACCACCACAATCTTAATAAATATGGCACAAGGAAGCCTTAATTGGGCCACACATTCCTCAAAACTTAATCCTGCTAAAGCACCCTAGGAAGAGATGGTCTTGACAGTCCCATTGTCCAGTAAAATGAACAACGTTGGCAGAATCCAGTGTGATTCTTCTTCTGATGGATCTAAAGTTCCATGAAGACAGCGAAGGTCAACAAAACCATCTCATTCTCACTCCCACATGCCCTGCCCAGCTAGGGCCCAATGCCCCAGCTCTAGTGGAAGTCCCTTTGGGGCTGGAGATCTGTGTATTGGCAAGAGAAACAGTGCTGACCCCAAATATCCAGGTTCTTATGTATAGTATGGGCCCAGGCAGCAGAAAGCACAGTGTCTACAACACCTATGATTCTATTCCTGTGTTCCCCCAAGACCTTCCCCCATGGGAAACATGCTAGATCACATGTATGTGGCTTTCCTCATGCTCACATCGTGATCCTGTTTACCTGGCTGCTTTCCAGAGTGAGTCCATCCTTGGGGCAGGAGGAATGCAATGTTTCCTCTTGTTCTCGAGTTTCCTTCCTGCTCTGTGGGTTTCTCAGGCTTCTCACTGACCTTCAAACACTTTTCAGGATTATTAACAACTCAGTCTTTTCCTGCCACTAAGATCACATAGCATCCTTATTCTAAATAAGATAGAATCCTCTTTTGAGCCACATTTCTCAACATCAAACATCTGGGCATCCTTGCAGGCATGTACTGGAAGAGAGCACATGCTTTGGCAGGGCACCGCTGGACGTTTGGACTGTCTCCTATCACTGTACTGTCTGAGAAATGACGATGTGACATTATCTGTAAATTAAGAGCAAAGAGGGAGGTCCATGAGAAGAGATAATAATCACTTCCAACTTCCTTGATGGTTAGGAGGCAGGGTCCTTTTGATGTTCCTGGCTTCCTCTGCCTCCTGCCAGCTCATCCTTTCTTTAACAAAGACACACACAAACTCAAACCCTCCTCATGAGTAGGCAAGGGAGCCTCAATACCCTGCCTTGTACTTCTATCAAACCCTCGTCATGAGTACCCAAGGGCGGTCCAATGCCCTGCCTTCTACTTCTGATGCCCTTTAAAGATCAGTGCATGGGGGTTCTGCGGCACACAACCCTGGCTTCCCACCATATTTTAGTTTTCATCTTTGTTTCATTATACCATTATGAGAATGTTTAATGCTTTATTTAATAATATCAGGGGGCCATATACCCCAGCACACCTGTTGAGCAAGTACAGTACCAGATATTACTCTCCCTAAATTTCCTCTTCCAACCCCATGCACAGGTCATTTTACAGCCTTAGTATATACAGCCTAGTGTTACTCACTGGGATGTGGTTCTTCCCCATAGTAACTCTCTTCTGTTTCTCCTCTCCACTAATCCCAAGCACTCATTCAAGGATATGCAGCCTTTTGGTTGCAAAATACAGAAATGGAATGGGGTTAAAATCCATGTTGGTGTCTGTACAGAAAAGTCTTTATATTCTTTAATGTTGTCCTCTTAGATCATGGTTAGAAGCTATTCTTTCTATGCTAAACCAAGATTCTTCCTAAATTTATTTGTCAATTATTATATATACTTAACAATCATGTATCAGTACTGGGAATCGAACACCTAGACTGGAGAATGCTAAGAGTGCAATCTGCCAGCGAGACATAGCCCCTGCCCAGGCAAGCTTTGATTTTGCTATCCCTCTGCTTTAGCCTCCCAAGGAGCTGGTGTCCAGACTGGGCCATTAGATCTGGCTACACTCACTTTTGGAAAGGCTGAGACACTGGGAAAAAACAACATTTAATTTCCCCCACCGCTTGTCTCTTCACCTCAACACCTGCTGGTAGAAGCAGGGCATGGTGATGAAAATGACTCATTATTTTCTACTGTCCGCAGCAAACCCTAGAGGCCCCGGAACTCTTCACTACTGTCCTACTTCAGACACAGCACTGGAGGCAGGATCGCAGGGCCTCACAAGGTGCTGGCCTTCCAATAACTTTTCTTCATTTTCCTCAATGCTAAGCAGGTGACTGACCCGGTGCTAGTGCTCTGTGCAAACACTTGCCTCACACCGCTACCAGATAAGGACGGAGCACGAAAGTCCTGGCAGAAAAATTCAGGAGTAATTTGCAATGTAAGTTTGGCAACTGTTTGGAACAAATGCCACTAAGCTCTTTCAAGGATCCCCCCGCCCTGGAATTCAGATCAGCAGCCTAGAGCCTTTTTGCACAGATTTTTTACCTATGCTGAGGTTAACAATTACCTTTCCTTGTTTGCTCCCTCCACTGTGGATCTTGGTAGGCACTTCTTAGTGTGTCTTTTCCTTTCATTTTATTCTGAGACATGAACGTATCTTTCAAATATATCCCAATGAAGAAGATTGTCTCAGGGCCTTTGGGACATAGGCACCATCATTCTAGGACTCCATACTTGCTGCTATGATGTTCCTAACACCCTTGAGTCTGTCTGTCTGTCTTTCTTTCTGTCTGTCTGTCTGTCTCTTTCTGTGTGTTTGTGTGTGTGTGTGTGTGTGTCTATGCATGAGTGTGTGTGTGCTTGAATGATCCATATCGTGTGTGTAGAGGTAAGAAGACAACATCGGATATTGTTCCTCCCCTCCCACCCTGGTTGAAATAAGTTCTCTTGTTGGCTGCCACTATCTACGGAAGGTAGTTGGTCGGCAAACTTCCATGCAGTCACCCATCTCCACATTCTATCTCTTTTTGGGAGCACTGAGATTATGTAAGGATGCTACCACGACTCCTTTTGTAGGTGTTCTAGGTTTTGGAACCCAAGTCCTCGTGCTTGTGGGCAAGTGCTGTACACACTGAGTCATCTCCCCAGCATCCTTGGTTTCCTAGTGTGGTTTATCCTCTTCAGAACTCCCATCTTCAACTTGGGTACAGAAGGAACGGGATCACGGGACTTGACAGTGTATGTGGTGATGTTGGCCTAAAAGCATGTTCATTTTACATCACTGTGTTCTCAATGCTTCTTTTCCTCCTCACATTTACACACGAAGTCCTAACCCCCAGAGGGACAATGTTAGGAGCTAGGACCTCTGGGGAATCTCTCATTAGGAAGACCCAAAGTAGTGATTTGCCCCTTACACCGTCTGAGTACATGGCTAGGATTTTCCATGTACTCAAAAAGTAGAGCCTACAGTAGACGCCGACTACACTGGACTTTGTCTTCCAGCCTCTAGTGTGGACCAAAGAGAGACAAGTGCCTGGTGTTCATGAGCTATTGTGTGTGGCATCCTATGATGGCACAAACCAAAACAGGGCTGTACACCCACCCTAACACAGACTTACACAAGGCAGAAAACATCAGGAACCCCTCGTTCTCAGCAGTGCAAGGACTGATTCCCAGTGAGAACCTCTTCTTAATGCTGTGTCATCAAGCCTTCTGATTCCGCACCCTCTGAAGAGAGACACTCATATCTTTTCCAGGAGATTTGTGTTAATTTACTTTTTCTTGATTTAGGTGCT